TATATTAAAAACACATTTTGAATCACAAAATAATGTGTTTATATATATGAATGTTTTAAATTTAAAATAATCTATAAGTAAAAGCATTTTCTATTGAAAAGGTTATATATCAATGAATTTATAAATATATTATCATATTATAAAATGTTTGTTTATGTTTCGCAATTCATTATAATAAATACATAGTGTATAAAAAATGAAATTAAAATCTGGTAATATTTAAACACTATTTAAATGTAATTTTCAAACAGATTTCAAATAAAATTTATTGTATATTTCTAAACCAATTGTAAGTTATATTAAAAGAATATAAAAAAATAAATAAATTGCAAATCAATGGCAGTTTAAAAGAAAGAAAAAAACATAAGAAATGTTTTTCAATAATAATAATTATAAATATTTATTTATAAATTCAGTTAACAAGTTGATGAAAGGTATTGAATTTGTTTTGAAATTATAAATAAAGTTTTTTTCAACAATATTATCTCATTAAATATGCTTATTGTTTGGTTTATAAATTTTCCAGTCAATCATAAATTTTATAATAATTATTTAAATAAATTTTGTTGTTGTTTTTATTTGCAATAATTTGGAAGCTACTAATAAACCAAAATTTTTATAATCACATTGCATTTATTGCTAAAAAAACTAAACTATTTTTAATAATATTTATTATTAAATTATTTCTGTATAAATTTTAATCTTATGGGTTATAAGCAATCACTCAACACATTAAATGTTTGGTTAGTTTTAGTCTCAATTTTATTTTAACTAAACATATAATTTGAAAAATAAGTTATGCAATGTGTCAAATACAGTATTACTTTAAACATTTTTGCCTGTGTTTAAAAATTTATATATATATTACAGTATAACTTATCGTAAATATCATTGACAATTACATATTTTATACATATCCACATATTATCGTATGATGACATGCAATACTTTGTATCGGTTTTCAATATTTCTATACCTTAAAGCTATACAAAGTTTTCTAATAATATCAAAATATATTTAAAAACTTATTTTCATTTCAAACAAATAAAAACAGAGAGAGAGAGAGAGAGAGAGAGAGAGAGAGAGAGAGAGAGAGAGAGAGAGAGAGAGAGAGAGAGAGAAAGAGAGTATAATATCATATCATTTCATCAAAAGATGTATTAATAAGTAATACAATTATTATAAAATATGAGTCTTAAAAAACTGGTCTATAAATAATTGTTAATAAAAAGTTATATAATATCGTGACTATTGATTGCCAGCAAAGATATTTCGTGGCAAAAGTGTGGCCATCGCTCACACTGTTCACCAAATTATGACTGACGAAAGCATTGGTAGATTAAGAGAGAAAGGTCTGTGCGTGACTTTATAGTAGTTGTGGTACCGGTGCTAACACTGGGTGCCCAGTATTTTCAATATTCAAATTCATCATAAATTCAAAATACAAAATCGTTTTTCGCTGATAATCGCAATTTTCATCAGTTTTTGTTGGCTTTTGAAAATGCGTTATAATTGTAGACATAATCAAACTTCTGGTGTTTTGCTGTTCCCTTTCTCTCCAATACTTTTTAAGTTTAATTAATCATTTGTTTCCTATTGTATAACATTTTGTTTAACTATCATTAAAAATTTATTTAAATGTTAAATATATTTTTTAATTTTCGAACAGATTTCGGATAAAAATCTTACATTTTTATAATTTGATAAAAACAAAAATAAAAAAAACAAATCGATTAGTTATGAAAATTATTTCCCAATAATTATATAATAAAAAATAATTATAGTTGAAAATGAAATCTTATGCATCAATTAGTCTGAATGTCTGCATTAAAATTATTTCATCGATTTAATAAACGTTAAATTATCTAATCTTTAATATTATTAATTTAATAATAATTATTATTAGTTTTATAAATATATTATTTTATATTTGTAATGTATATGGCAATGGTTTGCTTACAACAAAACTAATGAGTCATTTGACTTGTAATTAGGGTTTAGTTTTTTAGAAAAAAGACAAAAGTCATTAATTAATTACAAAACATGAGTTGTGACTGTGTTTTATAATATATAAAAGTTGATACATTTTTAGGGAATAGGGATCATATGAAACACATTTACATTCATTATATAATAGATATAAATATTTTAGGTGTTGTATTAAAGATATTCATGAATAGCATAATTTAATTTGTTTTTTAGAAAAATAAGATCGTATTGTAATATATAGTTTAGTAATTATACAGTCGAGAGGTGTTGGTTTGGTTGGGTGGCACTAATCTATGTGTCGGTGCACTTCAATATAACAGCCTCTCTGTTCAAAGCATACAATAATGGGATTAACTAAATATAATAAATTTTTGAAGAAAATATATTTTTTAATACAATAAAAAACAATTGTCAAGCAAAGCATTCATTAGTTTATATTTCATGATTTTTGGTGCAAATAATTATCATTTTTATGAAAACCAGAAATGCATTCAAATTATACTGAAAAATGTTTATAAAAATATATAACAAAACAATTTACAGTTTTATTTAAAAAAATTCAATACTATTATTTCAATAGTTTTTATATTTATCAAAGCTATGCTTATTTTTTGATTATCTATGGTATGTCATTATAAACATTTGGGAAATATATATTTTATAATCGCAAATAAAATCAAACATAAAAAGTATTTAAAATTATAAAAATTCTTTTCTATAATTCAAACTTTGATATGAAAAAACTGTTTGTAATGTTAAGTAGCAAAATGTCTTCAATTTTTTCAATTTCAATAACGATTCAAATCTTCAGTACTACACTTATGCGAGTCTTTTATTTACGACCAAATCATTTATATACCACACAATAATATCGTTAATAAAAAACAAGTTTTTTTTTAAATCATTTGTTACCAAATTTTTCTTTGTATTTAAGCCGACTTACAAACCATAGATGTTTACTTTGATTATCATTATTTTTTTAAATATAAAGTTTTTATTGTAAATATTATTAAGGCTAATACTATAAAAATCGTTATTAATACCACAAAATATGATATATATATATATATACGCCAAGAAAAGACAATTTATATATGAAAAAATAGTAAGCATTTAAGTAAATAAAAATATTATAATTTCTATATATAGTCGCCAACCATGTCATCAAATATTAAGTAACAGAAATGCAGTGATAGAGTAGGAGTAAGAAAGAGATAGAATTTCCTTATTGTTGAGAAAAGAGGTCAACCATACCATCCATACCGAAGCGCATACCTATCTATCTATTCTGCAACTAATTTATTAAAACCATAAAACTATAATATTTGCATATACTGTTTGCAGTGGTTATACACACATAATAATAATATGACATTTTTTTGTCTATTAAATTTGGTAAAAATATATGCAAATTCCGTGTAATTCAATATATGTTTACAACAAAACATATATTTGTAAGACATTAATCACCGGTATTTTTGGCACCGACTGATACTTCCGCACAATATATATATATAACTACAATATACTGTTAATCAGTCATAACTTTGTATTATATAATCTTAATAACAAACTAAAAGTGTTGCCAACACTTTAACCAAAGCAAATGTCAAAATATTAATATATTTTATTACATATTTATAAACGATATATTTAATAATAATAATAATATTATTACTATTATAACTATGTTATATATTAATGCATAATTTTCCGATTGCATAACACTGGCGGCTAATAAATTCCCGAAGAAATTATATTTTTCAAAAGCAATTGCAACTATCAATCGACAAACTATCAAATTGTACACAAAATGAGAGTGAATTTCTCGACCGTTACTTCAATCATAGATTTAATACTGAATTTATATAAATTTTTTTATACTGTATAATATTCAGCGTATATGTCATATCTATATATCAATACATATATATTATATAGATATTTGAACCCATTTTAAAAGTTGAATTTCAGAAGCATTTGCCCTCCAGTTTCAGTAGCTATCTATGCCTACAATTATTGGCCCAAACCTGCGCTCTTAGGCTCTCTATCTCTTTTTAACTCACTCTCTCTCTCTCTCTCTCTCTCTCTCTCTCTCTCTCTCTCTCTCTCTCACTCACTCACTCACTCACTCTCTCTCTCTCTCTCTCTCTCTCTCTCTCACTCACTCACTCACTCACTCACTCACTCACTCAAGTGATCAGTGTTTATATCTGTTATTTATTTGTTTTTAAATTGTAGTTAACAGTTAATAATGGATATGTAATGTAATTAATTTTAAAGCTAAATAAATTAACATTGATGTACAGTATTATATAAAACATTGAAAACATAAATACATACAATAATTGCATTGAAAATTAATTCATAAGAATTCTGACTCCACTTCATAATTAATCTTGAATTCAATTTTAAATGTAAATAATGTATAAATATATTTAGTTTTAAATAATAATTATTTATTTATATATAGAATATATACTTGTTTTGTAACTAAAATGAGATATAAACTCATTTTTACCATTCATTTCATAATTAGATTCCTTTCCTCACTTTATATGACAGCAAAAATGTTTAAAATATTTTCAAATATATTAGCCATTTGGTTAAACTTGACATAAGTTAATAATTTATTATTAAATTAGAGTAATGTATACTTAAAAATGATTTTTTAATTAATATTTTTCTTAAAACTTTAAATTTAAAAACTTTTAGCTAATGTTAATATATTATTGATTTATTAAAAATATTTGTAATACTTATTATAATATTAATATAATAGTATGTAAACAAAACCATTGCAAATGTATAAAATTTTTGCGTTAATTATATTTGAGTATTAATTTGAAGACAAATTTTTGTTATTTGCTAAATAATTAAATTTACTTTAATTTGATTAGCACTCAACTAAAAGTACAGACATAGAGTGATAATATTAATATGTGATAATCAGCGGCAGCGACGCCCTGTCCAGTGACATACATAAGCAATAACAGTCAAGTGATACATACCCTGAACAAAGAGTCGGACCAAACCATTATCCTTCTTGCTATTGACAATACACTGATATTCTCCAGAATCGCCAAATGAGACAAACTTGAAGGCAATGGATCCGCTTTCCGGAACAAATGCCGCGTTTTCTCCGAGATTCCAGTAAACGATTCGTTCGCTTTCAATCTATTGACACACATATTCACATCAATTCATATTAATTAACATATTTGCAGTCAAATTATTAAAATAATTAACACATTATAATGATAATTAGACAAACTATTGAAAAAGCATTTAAATTAGCTTTTAGTATCAAAATTAATAAAAATAATTAATTATCAAATCAATAACACATATAAATGCATATTTGAATAAACAATAAATAGTTGATTAGACAAACCTCGACAATCTTCTTGTCCTCTTTAAACCATTGAAGATTATATATCTTATGTGACTGTAGTGCCGGTTCACAGGGAAGAGTCCCATTACCTCCCTTTCGGATATATACTTTATGATTGTCATCAGCGGCTATATTCAAATAAATTAAATAAATACTTTTTAAATTTCAACTCATTTTATAATTAATAATAGTTTTACATTATATCAAAATGTAAAAATGTAAAAATGTAAAAAAAAAGTTAAATTAAATAAATAATAATAAAATAAAAGTATATTCTATAGACTAAGTGGATAAGTTATAACATTTACTTTTTAATAGTGTATAATTACTATTTTAATATATATATATATATATTATCTCAGTTTATTGTTTATTTTAAAATTATTATTATTGTATTTAAAATATACTTTAATTATATTTATTAGTTGTAAAAATATTGTAAGTCTTTTCAATAATCCTAATCATAACTCAATTCCAAGTGAGAAAACATATCAATTATTAAGAAGACTAAACATTTTTAGAAATATATTTTAAAGAAAATAAATCTATTTTTAAATTATTTCATATATAGTATAATAGTAATATAAAAATTGATAGGATATTTGAAAATTTGAATTCAAATTGAAAGCATTTATTTTATTACTGTGTATAAAATAATTTAAAAATTTATACAAATTTGATAAAATTCACATTTTAGTATTACATATGAAATACAGTATATTAATATTAAGCTATAAAATCAAACCATTTTAAAAATTTATAACTATATTCAACTAAAAAATAATTTTCTATTTAGCTTTTAGTATTGATAGCAACAAAATTTTATTTTAAATAGGATTATATGTAATTTTGTTTAAAAATTTCAAAAATTTATATGTTATGTAATATAATGTTAGATAAAGTGGTTTCCTTTTTTTAGTGATTTCTCAATATCTATTGTGTGCATCACATAAAAAGATAAATTCAGGAAAATATTTATATTCAACATATCTAAGACATTATATTTAATAATAAAAACACAGAGATTCAAGTGACTTATTTAACCTGATAATGGGGTATACATAACATTATTACCAGTGTTTTTTGGTATCATAAATATGAGCCATAAATTTGTTTTTAAGACATGACTGCGACAAGAAAATCAATGGCAAAGACTTTACTGGTTAGGAGATAGCGTTTATTGTGATATTATGATTGCATTTACATTAAATCCTGGATTTCATAACAACAAAAAAGCAAAAATATTACTTTATTTGTGCCACAATTTGCTTGATAAGCACGCACTGGTTGTTTTTGGTATGTCTATGCATGTGTGTGTGTTTTGTTAGTTCATACAATATTATGCTATTCAAGTAGATATACACTGTATGTGTCTATTATACAGTGTCTTCAATGAACGTATCGTTAGAAAGATTAAAGTATTTTCAAATGTGAAAATCGATTGTTTGACACATAAAATATGTGTATAAAACTTAAGTCATGAGTACTGCAAAAACGTATATAAAATTGTAAGACATATACTGTTTTTGTGCGATAATAGCATGACGTCTATAATAGTATTTTGCAAAATCAATTGGACTGTTATATTGTGCCAAACACTGGCAGGTGATTCACACCCGGGTCGCCATAGGATTCAAATCAATGCAAAATAAATTGGGAGAGATTTTGCTTTTTCATAGGTATTGGGAGATAGGACAGGGAGAGAGGCATTTGAATTTTAGACAGACAGTGAAGTCTGATTAGGTGAACACCAGGTATTCATTTGTCGTTACAGAGAGAGAGAGAGAGAGAGAGAGAGAGAGAGAGAGAGAGAGAGAGAGAGAGAGAGAGAGAGAGAGGGCACAGGCTATATATACAGACCTTGTCTTCTTTATAACCAACAAAACACAGTAAAGTACTTAACATTTAAGTTGAAAATTTGACCCAAACTTTGTAAATAAATTGTTTAAATGTTTATTTAAAGCTTTGACTCTCGAGTGAATCCCAATTGTAATTATATTTTAAGACAGATGTTTAGTTCAGAGGTCCGCACTTTATTACTCTCTCTCTCTCTCTCTCTCTCTCTCTCTCTCTCCTTAAATAACAACTTGTCTCTCAAATTTGAGAGAGAAAAAGAAAGTTTGTATTAATGATTAGTATTCAAAAACTTCAAGTAGTTGTATATAACAAACAAATGTCTTGAAAAGCACTCAATTGTGGTCTTTTGTGGTCTTAAATGAATATTATTTGTCTATTAAGTAAAGAAACTAATTATGATTTGACTCCCTTTGAAACCAGTGTTTGCCTCTCAAAGCCATCAAAATGCAAACAGTTTTTCACTTCTAGTTTTTGGCAAATATTGAAAAACAAATTATTCAAACATCTATTGAATTGCTGTTAAATATTTTTAACAAATAAAAACTTGTGAGTCCTATGACTATAATATATTATATTATTTATAAACATATTAATAGCATTTTAGAGAGCGTGAAAAACCAATAATCTATGAGTCCAATGAATACCCAATAAATAAAAAACAAAATAATATTTAAACCAAATGTTTAAAATCTATTTAAAAAGTGTGGTATTTATTATTTGATAACAACATTTTGTCGATTGGTTTGGCTAACTAATTATCTATCAGATGAAAATCATTATTTCCAATGAATTATTGCACAGTTAGACTGTTTTTCCCAGTAAAATATGGCCCCAACTCTACAAACTTAATGTTCACTCATTTCAATTGCATTTGTTTAGTGTTAGACTTAATTTATTTTTGTAAATCATTTATTTAAAGGTCAGACACACTATAGTAGTGCTAGTGTTGAGTGAGTGGTCGCACAAACTGTTGTAGCGGTCTATTACCCAAACAAAATGCAAATAAGCAATTATAACCTCACATACCTCCCAGTGGTTTACTTACTAACTATAAACACCCCTTTAATGCTTTCTAACAATCTTTAAGATAAATAAAATCTAAATGTTTTTCATAAAAAATTATTTTTTTATTGACGAAAATTAGTCTCTATTTATCACTTGCTATCAAACTGTTTTCAGTAATGTTTGCAAATAATCCTTATTTTCTTAACTATAAATAATATAAATTAAAATTTTTAGCACAGGTTTTCTATTATATTTAACTATTTATTTAACATAAAGGTGTTTATCATAAAAAACAATATATAGTTTGTATAAATCTTAAGAATTAGAAACTATTTCAGACTTTTGTGAAAATCATGAGTTTGTGATATAAAAAATAAAACATTGTTTAGTACATAATGTATATAATGTGTATTAAATATAAGTATGTAAATCGCTTGAAAATTTAATTTAATTATATATATAAGTTTTAGATAAATAAATAGTCAGTAATGTTTTGTCTATTTCTCATTATTTTCAAATCTAAATCCCACACAAAATACTTTCAAATAATCACTTAATATTTTCGACAGCACTTTCTTTCAGTTTGTGTTGTGTTTTATTAGATGTAAAATACAATATAATTTTATAGTATTTGCTAGAAAATTGATTTTTATCTCTGATGTAAAGTTTAAGCACAAAACAATAAAAATATAAAATAATAATTTTCTTACGTTCTCTCTATTGTATAAGTTTAACAATAAAGTTATTGATTTTATACTGAAAATAATAGTATAAGAATTTCGACATAAAATAAAAATTAAGCAAAGTTTAAGATAATGATATAATTTGTAGCAAAGATTTAATAATTATTATATATTTGATTGAATAACTAAAATCATTACTAATAACATATTACTGTATATTGAAACATAGATTACAGTATATTTAAATACTTTGCATATTTATCATAAAATAATTTATATATTTATTAAAACATCGATAACCAGAATAGCAATTATTTATTGACCCCATATTCAGATTGCAAGTAAAAATGCAAATTAAAACAAATAATATAAACAGTATATTTGTATTATAAAGAAAAAAAATAAAAGTAAAATATAAATTATAACACAGATTTATAATCAGCTATCTGTCTAATAGTGGAAATAAATGGAAAGGCGTTTCTCAATAATTTCAATATTTTTTGTTATAATTATTATTGTTGTTATTGTTTTAAATTATTATATAGTTTATATTAAACAAACAAAAAACTACAAGAAATCAAACAAAATTAATGTATTTATAAGTTTTGATTTAATACACTCATTAAATCAAAATTATATCTTGTTATCTATGCATATAATATTTATAAATATAAAAATTACACTTATTTAAATTTTTATTATGGTACAGTATATGTTTCTATTATCATTTTAAGTCAATGTTTTGAAAATGTAGTTTAGGTTAAGTTTATAAATATTAAATCTAAAACTAATAAAATAAAAATAAATTGAAAAATTCATTGTAACTTTCAAAACTAAGTGCTAACAACAAAGTAAACAAATAGTTTTATAAATAATTGTTTTGAGACATTTCATTGACTTTTAAATCAATTAATCTTATGCTCAATGAATAACAATTATTAACTGAAATAAAACTGTTAATTAAATTCTTTATATTGTATTTTATTTTCTATCATTTAATCTTATTTATATTAATACAAATAATTTTTATTTCTCTCATCTTATTTTATTTGTTAAAACATTTTCTTATTAAGCAAAGGATATAAAATTTAAATAACAAAAAATAATGAAAAATTGAATGCAATTTAAGTTAATAGTAATACTGTATATATATAATGATTTATTTTCAATGCATTTACTTTTTCAACACATATTTTATTTAGTGAATATGTATTTTGTGTTTTTAAAAGTTCCTACCTTTTCAATGAAATGCAATAATTCTAATACAATTTTGTAAAGCCATATATTATTATTTCACATTTATATATACACATATTCATACACTAAGATATATGTATTAGTTTGAGCCATCAATTATTGTCTGCCAATACATCAATTTTATGCTTTAAATATATGATTATATCATAAATATACATAATATATGCAAATCATCATTTATATTAAGAATTAAATTTATCATAATTTCTAATTTAATATTTATTTTCAGAGTCTTTTGCAATTCATTTGACATCATTTGCTTAAAAATAAATTTTTAATATGTATTTAGATATTAATCATTGCTTTCATAATTTATTAAAACATTA